TGATAATTATTATATATTTAAAGAAAAACAACTCACTTCCCACACATCTGAAAATGATATCACTGACGAATCTTTCAGTTTTAAACAAAATATCTTCAAACTGACACTGTTGTATCAGCAAACCGTTTATCAAAAAATGAAGGGTTTTATAAATATAATATTAAAAACAGATGAATGAATCTTCCAGTATAGTACAGTTTACACCAATAGTCCATTACAACTGAAAACAGTCTCAGTGTTGGACCTTTTGCACTGTTTCCATTCAACAAACGAATGAACACACACAGTGTCGGTTAACTAAGTCTGTTTTAGTGACTCTGAGGTATAAACTATCCACAGTAAACTGAGGAGACACATTAGCACATTCAGCGCATCAGGTATTTTATTAAGATCTTTATTGTATCATAACAGAATAAATCTCACAGTCTCGCCGCTGTCTTTGTCCCTGATGTTAAAATTCTTCCAAACTGCTGACATTGTTGACCTACTTAAATAAACTGGCCACAATAAAACTCTGAACACTGACTGACCTGTACACAGGTGGTTGTGAAGTACTGTGGATTAGTACAAGTATGAATATTTCAATGAAGAATCGAGTGCGTAACTAATAAGATCCTTACACAAAAACAACATTTCTTTAAAGTATTTCAGTACTTTTATTTGTACGAGTGATTAGGATGTTACTAGGTGGAACTGTGTTCTCAAGGATGAGGTCGTTTCCAATTTGTAGCTAATGCCTCTGTAGGACAGTTTCAAAACCTTTTCTATGCTGCAGCACATATTTTATATTCCCATTGAGAACCAGTGGGGATGTCAAAAAAAGTGTATGTAATGAGGTGTAATGATCTTCTAGTTTCAATGCACTCACAATTTATTTACTTAGTATGAACCCTGGGCCTGTTTAGTTGAACCTGGGATGCTCACAGGAATTGAAGAAAGACACAAATGAAGACACACATATTTTTTCAGCTTGTTTGGCCTTGGAATTGGCTTGTACTTTTACCATAACTTTTATTGTAATTAAAAAAAAAAAAAAATTCTCCAGTGCCTAGTTCAAATTGTTTTTTGTTTTTTAGCTATTTTACAGAAACGTCACTAATTCTAATGTTTGATTAGTAAAAGGTAAATAAGCAGATTAATTAGCCACCTTTTTTATTATTTATTATTATTCCTCCTTTGATTGTCACACAAAAAAACAAAGACAGATAAGATGCAATTAAAAAAAAAATGTTTTCAGACAAATTAGGTGAAGTGAATGATTCTCCATTGAACACCTACAGTCTGGGACCTGAAACCTGATAGATGAGTGGTTGAGTGAGACAATTAAATAAGAAATGGATGGATGGATGGATGGATGGATGGAAGGAAGGAAAGTATCAGAATGGTAGAATGCTTTACTGCATACTTTTATTGGAAGTGACCAGTGGCCGTTCCCCATGATATACTGGACGGAGCAGCAGCTCCACAGACACCGCTTCTATTTAAGGGTCAGCTCAGACATGTCAAAGTACCAGGTGGTGTGGTTTATTCATGAGGACGTGTTCACAACCAAATCTCAGTTCCCATGAAGCCTGTGTGCTCGTTCTTTTTATCCAATCAAATAAAATCCACCCATCTTTGACATGATTGTTCATCCGACTGTTATTTATCACCAAGCATTTAATGTACAGTAATTGACATGAATGCATCTTTAACTTGAAATTCTTCTGACAAACGCAAGTGTAATTGTTACATTTCCCAGTGCTCATAAGACTAATAACTGATCATACAGCTTTTCTTAGTTCCTCTCCAGTTCCCCCTTAAATGCCCTGACACGCTGATGTTACTGATTTACCACTTCACTGAACCCTAACCGTGACATTTCCAGGGGTTGCTCCCTCCTGCGTTGCTCCCTGTCCTCCTCTTTTGCCTGTCTGTCGACAACCGCCTCCTACTTAACCAGCTTCCTACTTCTCTCAGTTTGCTATGTAGCTCATAGCATCCCTAAATATAGTCGAGCATGTCTACCTCTTCCTCCTCTTTCCGTCTCCTCTTCATCCTGGCCCTGTCTGACAAATTTGAGCGAGCCTAGACAATTCAATCTGACATGCCTTTACATAACAATTCAATCCACAGCACCTTCCTCCTCCTCAGCACAGCGTGACCCAAAGGTGTGTTATTGGCATGGATGCAATTTTCAGCATCAGACTGGGGCTGAGGATATTATTAGACCTGCCTGAGCAGAGCTGTGGCTTCTTGAATTCGAGCGCATCAGGTATGTTCCTCAGAATCAGCATGGCTCCGTACAGGGAGGATCAAATGCGACCTTAGCATTATCATACAACCCCCCCCCCCCCCCCCCCCCCCACACACACACACAGGACAGCAGCCTTTATTCACACCAAAGCCTTCTCAGAGAGGGAGGCAGTTAGCGGGGAAGCTGTAGTAAATCTTAAATAATAACCGCAAAGAGTTATGACCCTTGCTGACATTATGCCGTCGCACACCTGCCTCCTCCTGCCTCCTGATTTATCTCTGGTCTGCCAATAAAGTCCAACATGAAAATGTCACATGTACCAAAGAGCCGGCCTCCACCGCAGGAGTGAGCCCATGCAGAATTAAGAGGTCTCACATTTATTAAACCATCAGCGTGCATTTTAAAATCCAAGCCTATTTTGCATCTTGAGGGAAAATTAAAAAACGTGACCTGGTCAAAATTTCAGCAAAAGGCTCGAACATTAACAACATAACTTTGCCAGATTTTTATTTTTATTGAATAGGCAGATTAAATTGTGCAGTTATTGTAAGATTATCCTTATTAGCCTCCTGATTTTGTGTTGTTTCTAGCTTTGTGTGTTTGCCTCCCCCCCTTACCCCACCATTGTGTCACTCGTACAGTCTTTTTGATAAATGTTTTTCTGTTTCTCCACTCAGGAAAGTAACTGAAATGTAGCTTGTTAAGGTGACATTTCAAACAGCAGTCACTTCCAAATTGCTGCTCAACACTCATAAAAAGTAGTCTCTGTGGGAAGATCATTCGACACGAGCTCGAAGACAACAGCTAAGTTTAGTTTTCACCGACATTAGTTCCTAAAATGAACTCGGTAGCTCAGGGGAAAAATCCTGAATGTTTATGCACTGTTGCACATATACATACTGTAGGTTACATTTTCAATTTTGTAATTTGTGTACACTAAATCAGTGTTTCCCAAACTTTTCTTTCTGGGGACACATATTTTAAAAGTCACAAACTTTTGTGATCCAAGTCAATAGATTAGAAAACTCCTGGGAAACATGATGTGAGTTGACCCAAAAAAACCAAAGAAAAAACTCTTGCGACCCACCTGTAATGTGACAGTGATAAACAAAACAATTAAATCCTCTTCCACTATGTGGCACCATATGGGTTTAAAACAAACAAACAAAAAAGAAACTCTTAGTGCGTGTATTTCTTCAATTCCTGAGAATATACCAGCATTGTGTTCAACTAAACAGGCCCAGGTTTTTTTGTTGGTAGATCATATTATTTCAATATATATACTATTACTTTGTGGTGTGTCACTGATCAAATACTCAAGAGTGTTCCATAGTTTGAGAACCACTGAGCATAATGTTGCTTCAAAAGGTGAATTAATATATTCCAGAGAATTTTTTTCAAAGTAGTTTTCAAAAGCACATTAATTACATTTTTTTACTTTTTTTTTAAGCCATTGAAGATATAAAACAGCTTCTAGGCCAAATGGACAAAAGAGCACAGTGTCAGGTCAATGATATCCCAAACAGCTTCTAGGCCAAATGGACAAAAGTGTCAGGTCAATGATATCCTGCAGATTCACCTATTCATATTCCTTTGCTTCTGCACTTAGTTAACCAACTCTTTGTTATACATCGTTTTGTAATTAAAAATAGGAATGAATCCCAAGGTTTGTCTCCGAACTAACTAATATCCTGCATCTACAGTGCATGGTATAGTCTGTGTTCCCCCAAAGTCTTGTCTTCTGTGACTTAAACCATAATTAATCTTAATGGGTGTGCTTTAAAAAGCATTGTGACAAAGACGATCTCTTCAGAGCGGCGGTAGGAAACAGAAAACAGCAGCGATAAATAAATGTGGCAGTTCTTTGGGTCTCTCTCTCACTCACTCTCTCTAAATATCCTGAGGGTTGTAAGGCACTGACTAATTACCCCTCCCCCCCTGAAGACAAGGGTCACACAGTAACAGCCAGTCACACTTACACACAGAATTAGTCAGGACCTGTCAGAGTGGGAGGCTATCACCAGGAGATAACAAGGCAGAGATCCATAGATCGCGGAAGGAAAATGATAGCCTCACACCTGACTGCCTGTGACACTGACGGGAAATGGAAGTGATATATAAATGTATCTACATCATGAGGACTAAGACTGACAAAAAACAGACGAGAAAGTCGGAGTGCCGAGAATATAGTTCTAACTGCAGCATGCTGAACAGACCTGATGAATCACAATGGGATGACGCCGCGGCAGATCTCCGAGGTCTGATAACAGGGTTTTTGAAAATGCAAAAGAAAAGGAAATCTGTGAGACAGATACGTATGAGAAATTAAATAATGGTCAAACTAAAAATCGCTGCTGCTGCGACAATACCACTACTTCTAATAACAGTGCATTATGCGAAAGGAATTGTAGAGAGCATTATCAAATACAAGAGAAGAAAGAAACAAAAGCTTCACCTTCAGCCAGAATGAATGGGTCTTAATTACGAACGCCTTTTTCTTGTTTTGTTAGATATGATTTCCTTTCTTTTTTTTTTTAGTCTTTTTTTTCCTTTCCCATCTACAACCTTTCATTAATTCTTGTCAAGCTGATTTCTTTTTTTTTCATTTGTGGCGGTGACCTCTTTCTCATGTATTTTAAAATGACCCCACATCCTACATCCCCACTGTCAAGCACACGTCGTGTTTCAATGGAAATGTAATATGAAACAAAATTACAGTCTTTTACCCCAATCTCTGTCTTTCTGTCTTTGGTGCTATCTGCAGGATCTCACGATGACATCAAGCATAAATCATTGAGGAAAAGCCTGTGACGGAAAGAAACAGAGGGGAGAAGAGGGAACAGGGAACCAAAGACGAACACAAGAAAGGCCATTATGGGGAAGCTTGTAGGCCCATCACATATTTTGAACAACTATTCTTCTAAGGGCCCAAGAGGCAGAGCACTTAGACGAGACACACCTGCCGAGGAGATGAAACAACCCGATGGACACTAAAGGGATGAGCTGCTTGCTTTTTTCCCCTCCATGCTTATCTGGCGATAACTTGTCCAGCATCATCAAGTGTTCGCATATCTGTGAAGTTTAAGAAAAATGTGAATAGTATGCCAAAGCGCTCAGCTTTAGAGGAAATGTAACATTAGGACATTGGACGTTTAGGGAATATTTGATGCTGCATATATTTATTTTTGTACAAGTGTTAAAGAGAAAACCCACTGGATTCCCTGGGTTTTACATCACCTTCATAGCAGTCTTTACGTTTTCTGTATTTAATGTGGAACTGTGAATATAGTCATGCGTTCTTTCTCAAGGATAATTCTGGTTGCAAGAAAAACCCTTGATGTATCGATCTGAAACACCTCCGCAGCTGCATACCATCATATAAAGAGACAGATATATTGCCACTTCAATGGAACCGGTTTTCAGTCAGTCAGTATTACCGATCTGTCACTGTTATAGCAACCGTTAAGTATAGGAGTGGTTGTTTTCTTTCGTAGATGCACTATCACAACTAGGCTTTCACTTCCTGCAAAGCCTGTGGATGTTGGGGGAGCAGGATCTAGAAGAGAAATGGTGAGCAAAGAGCCCAACCACCTGCTTACAGGCCAAACCAACGGCAAGAGCCAATTGACAGACAAGCTACCGGGAACAATGACCGTGCGCTCAGTCCTCCTCAATCGAGACTCTCCGGATATTGAGAGTCATCTCAAACGACGTCGTAACCGTACCCACCAAGTCCGCTTTAAGGACCTGGAAGATGGCAGCAGTAGCAGTGGCAACAGTGGGACGGGAGAAAACAATAGCCATCAAAGGACTCCCAAAGACTGTGACAGCCCAAATCCTCTTTATAAACACTGCAGGTCACCGCAGCCGTGGTCCACGGACGGTCCAAGGACTAATGACCTGCCTGGCCAAACATCTGTGGTAGGAGCTGTGCGCGGTGATATGGCCAGTACCATAGAGGTTGTGGCTGCTTTCTTAGCCAGGGCCCCTCCTCATCCACTGACGCCAGGTCCTACACGTCGATGCTGGGCTCCACCACAGACTAACTCACTAACCTTGCCAATGACACGAAGGACCTGCACAAGCACCAGCACAGCCATCCAGACGTCTCCATGCCTCAAAAAGCCCCCGTCCCTCTCCTCAACTCACACACGGAGCCACAGCCTTGGTGATTCAGTTGGTATAGATGGGGATGATGAGCATGACTCTCAAGATGAATACCTTACACACAACCATGTGTCGGTGTTGCCTGCATCCAGAAACCAAAATGGTCCTCCTGGGCCTAGAGATAAAACAGTTGTAGAACGGAAATCTAAAGCCTGCAGGACAGACTTAAAGTCAGCTGTGAGCGTGGTCAAAAACTCCAGGCACAACTGCACGTCAGCCCTCAACAGCAGTCAGCCGTGTCGCAGTTCTCCTGTGTCAATCTGCGATGGACCCAAGAGGCAGGGAAGCAGCACTCCCTCGGTAGTAAGGAGGAGAAAGCGACTGAATAGAACCACAAGTGATCCTGGAAAAGAGGTGCACTACTGCACCACGCCCACTCAGACTGAAACCCAAAGTCTAATTCAGCCACCTTCAAACACCAAACTCTGCACAACCCAAGTTCAAACTGAGAGTCCCTCGTCGTGTCAAAACTCAAAGTACTGCACCGCTCAGAGTCAAACTGAAAATCATCAGCCTTCATCTGTGACTGATAAACAATGCACAACTCCGCTTCAAACCACAGACACGACTCCAGCCCTACCTCCCAGTGTTGAACAGTGCTCCACACAGATACAAACCGACTCTCCCTGTCGCTCTCCTCCTAATACTCAGCCGTCCACTGCACGGACAAAAACTCATGGTCTCTCCGCTACTCCACCACTGAAAGTGTCATCTGTCCCTGTGAAAATTCATTCTGAGCCCCCGACTCAGTTACCAACCAGGACCCAAGACCCACCCATTACCAAAATAACTACTGTGCCTTATGCTACTTCTGCCCTGTCCACAGGTGCACCAACACAGACTACTGAACACCGGGGTAAACCTCCTTGCTCATCTTTCTTAAATTCTGTTTCCCCCACAACGCCCCCCCTGCCTATAACTGTGTCTATTTGCTCCACTTCCCCTACACCTACTTGTGTAGCAAATCCAATTACACAAAATACAGTTGTGTCCACAGAAACAACGCCCTCTTGCTCAACAGTTGTTTCCTCCAGCCCTTCCTTAATTGCACCTCCGTTACCTACTCCTGACCCCATCGTAGTGTCATCCTCTCCTTTGAGCTGTTCTACACCAACCCCAACTGTCACGACTGCAACCCCTGATATAACTCCACCGGACTCCATCGGACACCTAGCGACAGTTCCAGACCTCGCACACGGAGCGTCACACAACTCCACCACACTGCCTTCAAACCTGACACCCTGTACGTTTGTAACGCAGACTGCCCTGTCCTGCACCTCCATTGCATATTACACCACCACACCTCCACACGGTCACCATGCACCTCTACCTAATTCCACGACACCCTCTTATGCCGCTGTCATACAAACTGTCTCCCATTGCAACATACCCTATCAAACCGTCACCACTAGCTTACCTCTGTACTCCACTCACGTCTCAAACTTCTCAAAGTCCTGCACTTCTCCTGCATCCAATCTTCTAAACACACAACCCAGCGTCACGCCGACTAAAGCCGTTCCTTTGTACTCTTCTAAATTCCGTGCTGCACCACCATATACCCCACCCTCTCAGGCCTCCTTCAATGCTCAGGATAAAAGGGGCATCCGACTTCCTCCTCCTCCTCCACCACCACCTCCACCCTACACCCCTCGTAAAAAGGGAAACGACAAACCAGGTCCTGGAATCCAAACACCTAAGCTCAGGGCAGACAGCAAGGCCGATGAGAAGGAGAAAAAGGAAAATGTAAAATCTACCGACTCACCCAAACTTAACGAGCAGGCCTGCTCTCAGAAGCACAGAGCTCAAACGTCGCCAGTTCCTGTGATGAAGGGAGAGAAAGAGTTCTCCTCATCCTCTCCTGCCAAGGCCTGTTTTAAGACCAGCTGTCTCAGCTCAGCACAGGCTCAGCTTGGGGCCCTCCACAAAATGCTCTGCTCCGGGGCCAACGCCAGGCCCAGCACTCCCAACAGCCAGCACCGTCTCCCTCCTGACCAGCAGGGTTGCTCTGGAGCCAAAGGCTGCTCTTCTTCGAGGCCCCTGACTCCCACCCAGGCTGACACACTGAGACAGGTCCAGGAAATCCTGGGAGGGTTGGTGGCTGGGGCCAAGTGTAAATTGGACCCCTCCAGAGTGACAGAAAAACTCCTTAGTCCCAATGGGCCCCTGCATGACATACGTAGCTTGCAGAGCCAGCTCCACAGTTTGGAGGGAGTCCTGGAAACCAGCCAGAACACCATTAAAGTCCTGCTGGATGTGATTCAAGACCTTGAGAAGAAGGAAGCGGAGAGAGATGGGTGAGGCAATATTTTATTTCAAAAAATGTTTAAATAAAAAAAAATGTGTATAAAAAAACCAAGCATAATCATTCTAAAGCAACCATTTATTAAATGAAAACAAGATAAATTACAATTTGTACTATTTTACCAACAACAAATATTTCCACCGCCACCGTTAGTTAAATTGCACGATCTCATCTCTGGGTCTTCTTAACTGCTGCGTCGTATTTTGGCTTCTGACTCCCAGCTCTACTAATCAAACTCATCAGTGGCCAAATAAATATCCCAAAGCAGGCTGTTGTGTTGTTGACTGCAGGGACGTTTTCCAAGCTGTTAAGGACTGACACTTAAAAATCACAGCCCGGTGTTAGTGTCTTGGACAGTGATTGTACAGTGGAAGTGCTCTCTGTGCTAAAAAAAAAAAAATACCCCAGTGATTCAATTCTGGAATTTTACAACACATTGCTGGTGACCCAGGATGACAATATTGTTCTTGGCACCACACTGTGACCAAGGTGGTGTTCAAAGATAGTGTTAACAAAATCATGAAATGTTGCAACGCCCCAGGTTAAATCAGAGGTTTGGGGGGTGGGGGGTGTCTGCGTGTGCAAGCCTTCGGCTAAAATAGGAGCCACACCGCATTTGTAGTTGAAGAAGTGAAATGACTTGCAGCCCCAGGCTAACGTATGGGCCTATAAATCTGAGGCCCTCTGCCAAGGGCTGCTTGACAGCGGGACAGACGGACAGACAAATAAAGACAGACAAACATAAGGAGGAGGACCGATAGAGTGAGACAGCCAGAGATAGATCCACTCAGGATAAACAGTCAGACAAGCACGAGTGGAAGTACATAAATTTTGAGTGGCTGATATTTTGTGGACTGGAAAGTAAATGTCAGCATGTTGCCTAAGAGCCTGCTGTTTATTCCCAGACAGTTAATTTCTCTGGTAAGTTTCAGAATCTCTTAACACAAAAACAAATTACCAGCAGACATGATAATGTGACCGTAGATCTGCACTGAAACACCGTCGACAAGTGGGTCACTGTTGTCACATTATTGTTTGCAAACCCCTCCGAACCCATGATGTGTTATGAGTATTACAAATCCACGGCTGCTGTGCCAAAGACTTGCAATGATGCAGTTGCTCTATTTATAGTCACTCCCTGTATTATAAGCATCATAAATACTTTGGCAATAAAGCTGTGAGGACAGGACACAGAATATATTTTGTGAAAAACAGAAAAGGGGGGAAAAAAAAGTGATGTAAGTGAATGAAACAATAGTTTGGACTGAGAAGTGACACGGTACTTTTTTTTTTTTTTTTTACGAAGTTTGATGTCAGTCATGCTGTTCTCAACTCTCAACTGTCCCTGTGCTGAAAAATTCATGTCACTGCAAACCACTGAGATTTCTGGGATACTACAGTAAAAGCACCTGCAGCAGCCCCTGTGTACACATTCAGTATGTTACAGTTGCTATAGATAAAAATCCCACTGCTGTTGATGTTGACTTTAATGTTCCATTCTTCTGGGTATAAAAACAGGTCGTAGTCTCAGGGCTTCTACCTGATTGGCTACTTGGTAATCTTTTCACACACTTGAATCGATGGAAGACTGACCCATTGAAATCTGAACTTTAAGCCTCACAAACTTTTTTTAATGAATATGTAATGCGTGTCACACATGACACCACTTAAATGTCCATTCATCTCATTAAATTATCTTGTGAGCTTCGGTTTAAACCCTGAAACACGCTTCGTGCCTCAGCAGCGCATCAGTGTCAGGGAACATCACACTTTTCTTGTAACCAAAGAGCAGCGTCTCACATTGTTAATGACTCCAACGTTTCATCCCCATTAATTTTAAGAAGCCAAAGATTTTTTTTTTTACTGTATCAGCAGTTTGCCTGTGTTTTCTTTGTCATTTCTCTGTTAAAAAAAAAACACCTACTTTAGAAATATTTACTAGAAACAAACACAGTCCTGAGACACATCTGTTACAAATTCAAAAGGTGTTTGATTTTAATGACTAAAAGATGTCAAGGCTCACAGGTGTCTGGAAAAGATTCAACAAGTTCTCATTGCCTTGCTTTACCTGAAAATAAAAAAATAAATGAAAAAAGAACTGAACTCCAGACCTAAAACGAGGCAGAACTGAGACATTTTCTGATTTAAAAACCTTTTAACTTAAACAGGAGAAGTACATTTTCTATTCTTAGGAATAAAGACTTATGTTTTCATTTTGTCTTAGAACTTTTTGACTTACCATCAAGTAAGGCACAGGTAGAGAAGAGACGCAACACAGAATGTCTCCCTTTTAATTTAGATAACTATAGTAAATGTTAACTAGCAGGAAACACCATAAGGTGTTTGATCGAAAATAAATTTAGCTCTCTCTCTCTCTCTCTCTCTCTCTCTCTCGTCATAACGACATCATTATTGGACATTGTTGACAGATAAAACACATTGCTGCAGATGCGCAACTGCTATGATTAAAGAGCAAACCGCCTACATGCAGTACATCCAAGTGTTATGTGTACTGCGCCTGGTATACATACATATACTTTATAGGTGATGCACTAAAACATAACACAAATCTCATGAGCTTTACTTTATGCCTGAGGTCATATACAGTGTGGTGACTCATGATTTACGTAACAGCCTGACGCAGTTAGAAAGGATATCATTAATTAAAAAAAAATGATATGAGGTTATTTAAATCAGACACACACACACACACACACACAGAGCCTTATCCTTGACCCTGACCACGTGTTACTCCACGTCCTTGTCCTAATTCCAAGGCATACTTTTCCAGGAGTTCCTGTTGGTGTGTTACTATCCTTGATTTAATTCAAATTTAATAGTAAGAATATTTAATCGTCAGATTTGGACTCACTGAAAGACCAGTTTAACGTGGCACTTAATCAGAATACTCGTGAAAAGTACAGTAGCGCCGAGTACCTGGTAATCAGTACCTGGTAATCAGTACCTGGTAATGTTTGTGGTAGAGCAATTATTTACAAAAAAATGTTATTGAACCACATATTTATTCATATTTTGATCTTTTCTTTGTTTATTATTAAAAACGACTTCCTGAAATATTTCTACAGTTTCCTATTTCAACAGAAACATTTTAAAAGAATACTAACATCATTAAAAACAACTGTAGTATAGTGGTATATAATATGTATATAATATATTATATTATATAAAACCTTTTTTTTTTACCATACTGAAAGACCAGTTTAACGTGGCACTTAATCACAATACTCGTGAAAATTTACTTGAGTATTGTATTTCTCTTAATCCTAATTTTTTAAAATTTCCCCCAGAGATGTCTTTCAGATTTTTGGCGTTTTTTAAATTCTGGTTCTGATTCTGAAGTGTTGCCCAGCACAAATGTATACGCACCAACATTCCTCTTTTACCCCTGATATGTTATTCTTCTGCCTTTCACACAGAAGACATTCATACAGGACTGGACAGGACATTGAGAACTGTGGGACCTGCAGGGACTGTGCCTGCATCATCTACAGGTACGTGACTGGATGGCTCTTCATAGTTTGCATATTTATGACTTTATGTCTCCGACTGGGGCAGTGAGGGCACCGTGAGTGTCAGAGTGTCAGAGTGCAGGATTGTGGGCATCATGAGTTGAGTTTTAAGGCTTGCTGAGGATTGTCACGCTGCTCCGTGACGAGAACAGCAAGATGCATCGTGGGTACAGCGCTGCGCAAACACCGCAGCAGGTCTGATCACTTCATTCACACTGAGGTGTGTTCACGCAGGCGTACGCACATTCACGGGCACACATACTGTCACTGAAATGTATTTAGTTGGACAGTAAGCAAGGAGTTAAAGTTTGAATCCAAAGGTATTGTACAGAGTACTAGTGCTAGAAAAAGAGAATTTAGTTTGACCACTGAGCTATAAACTGTATTTCAACATGCTCAAAATATTCTGACATGTGCTATTCAACATTGACAAAAAAAAGGCTTTGAACAGAAGGTCAGAAAAAATCGTATTTCTATGTTGTTAAACAGATCTTTTCTCATGATGATCAGGGATTAGATTAGATTAGATTAGTTAAGGTTGACTTAAAGAGGAGAAAAAAAAGATAGCAATTAAAAAACGGAATAAAGTAGACAGAGGTAGACCAGACTGTAAAATTTCACAAAAAAGTAAGATATTTTAAATGTACAAATAGTGTTAATAAAAAATATAAAATACTATACTATAATACTATAAACATTAAACACACAAACACTAGTTACCTAGTGGTTGGGACATGGAATGGCACCACAAATAATAAGTAATAATAAGTAAGTAAGTCTTACTGGATGTCACCTTATATTGCACCTTGTATTGCGAAGCATTTGTAATGATATTTCGAGCAAATGTTTTTCTCCTCCGTCATCTGCACTTCTAATTTCTCCGTCTCACTGACCCTTCTTTTTCACACAGATGAACAGATGACATAGTGTCACTCACAAGCACAAACCACATAATCATTCTTCGCTGAGGCTCAAATCTAAAATTGAAATCAGCCAATTAACAAACAGGATTTCACACTTTACAGGAGAGTGGAGAAAAACAAAAAAGAAACTCCGTTAGAGCTGTGACTTTTCTAAATAAGGGGAAGTAATCGGAGTGTGCACATGTCCAAATACCTCACCCGTGAACTCGCTCCTGTTTCATTTAATACACGTGTGATTTTTGGCGGGCTAATAAGGTGTCTCCTGTAGCTACAGCACCCCTAGTGGTAACCTGATTATCAGATGCACTGAGATATCGCTCAAGTCGACTTCCTGTAAACTGCACCAGCGGAGTAAACTATTAAACCGACTCGGTTTGTCCTCGTCATTGATTCATACACTGAATAGAACTTCCCACAATTTAAAAAAAAAAACTTTAAAACTATTATTTACTACTATTTTTTTTAAGAAAAGAAAAAAGGAAAGAAAAAAAACAGCTGAAGAAAAGAAACTGATAAAAAATGTGACATTTGAAGCAAAACATAGCCAGAGAGAGCAGGGAAAATGTGAAAAATAATGAAAATGACTCATTCACAAAATACAGTTGATGCTTTTCCCATTAAATTTCCACGAAACTAAAATTACTTTTTGGAAATTCACTTAAACCTGTATCTATCAGGAAAAATAACAGAAATGACTTCCTGTTTGGACGGACCGACTCAATGATATTGTTTTGTTAATCAATTGTTATATTGATTTGGCACAGTTGGAAAAGATGTTTACCAACAGACAATTTCATTTGGTTTGAAATGTTTAAAAATCCAAGTTTATTTATTTGTGCTGTTTTGCCATTTTAACTTCTCGTTACAACAAACAACCAGGAACTTAAACATTCTGTGAATCTGTAGTTGTATTCAGTAATTTTTGTTTTAAACCATGAAGACACCTGTTCTCATGTGACATTTTTTCAGCCATCTGTGTGAGATACGGTGACATTTGACCCATAACAATGAGCACGATTGGCTGAACGAGACACTTGGATTCGACAGGAAGTTGAGCGAGACTGTCATTTGATTTTATGGTCAGGATTGTTCTATTCACATCAGATGAAGTTATTACCTGACAGAAGGAACCTTTTTAACTATGAACTTGTACTCTTTTGTCTAGTCCAGGCATGTGCAAACTAAGGCCCGGGGGCTGGATGCGGCCCGTTCAGCCTATTAATCCGGCCCGCCAAACTTTTCCAAATTACATAATTTATTTATGTTATCATTATACTTTTTCCTGCAATATCCATGTTTCCCCAATAGATGGCGTAAAAAATGATAAAAGCATTGTAGCTTTTATGCATGACTTTTATCATGTCATTTATCTAAATTCACACGAATGCTTCATCGATCTGCTCTTGACCCGGCCCCTCTGTTTAATTTTAGGACAATTGTGGCTCACAAGTCAAAAAGTTTGTCCACGTCTGGTCTAGTCCCTAGATTGTCCCACAGGAAATAATTGTTAATGCATCTCTGGCTTTGATGGATGCTCCTTTTACACCCAGTCTGTTATGTAGTTAACATCCACGATGATGACTAAACGACCAGAATCTTGAAGCCAAACTCGCGGCTCAGGAGTTGGTAGATTTTCATCATCTCTGTGCATCATGACAGTGGCTTGCAGAACGTGTCGAGAGTTCCTTTCAAAAACTTGGGCGAAGTCGTTATTCTCAACCATATTAATCCGTCTAGAGTCTCTCACAATAACTCTGACAATTGTGTCAGTCACCCTGTCAGTCATGGACTTATTTACTGTCGGCCAGGACGTTGAAGCCTCTGCTGCATGAGATGGTATTTTAAACTGGCACAGTGAGTTCATGTGTGAATTAGAGAGCGACTAAAGATGAACCTGGAATTATTGGATATACAATGTACATCGCTCTGCATTGAATATTTCAGTTTCCTAAATGACCACAGTTAATTACCACAGCCTGAGTCTTTATTAAAATCCCACTGCTGTCATAGCATTTTTTTTTATTGACTTGACCCCCGTCCTTCTTTCTTCTGCTAAAGTGATTTCTCTGAAATACTCCTCTGTTTCACCGCCGGTTGAAATGCCTGCGTTCATGGTCATGTGAGGACTTATCACACTATCACCTGTCAAGTCCACACACTTTAGTCAAGAGGATTTTCCTGCTTTGAAAGAGGAGGTGATTTTTTTTTTTTCCTTTCTGTGAGTCTCAAATAGAGCTGAGTCTATAAAGAGATTTTGTCAGTGATGGAGAAGAAGGTGTTGAGCAGAGGAGAACCATAACATGGGGCCTGAAAAGGAGTGAGTGATGGAAAAGCCATAAAATCTGACAGGACAGATTCTATCAATTAAAAAGCTTCTTGTCCAAGTCCTCACAGAAAAGCAGCACTCAGCACACGCCACGCTATCAATCTACTCCAAAATGATTACACCCCGATGTATTTAGAAAAATGACGGAAAGTGCAGATTTGGGTGTTTGTCCTTGTGCGATAAGCTACTTATAAATTTGATCCGAGCAAATCTGCAGACGTGTTTTATCGTCTCCGTTTTTGACACCAGATATATAATAATAATTTGAGCAGAATCAACAGTAATAGTAATTGATGGGCTCTAGATAAGCAATTAAACAATACAATTATCTAGCACAGTGGTTTTCAAAATAGCCAGGGGGCGCTGAAGAGCCTCAGAAAACTGAAGGGAAGATCAGAAAAAAAAAATACGCAGCCCTGACTCG